AAGGACGGTGTGCCCGTCGCCGAGCCCCGCTTGTCCACGCCACAGGGCAGCGACCCTCCGCCCTCCTGCCGAGTCAGGGACCCTTTCCTTTCCTCTCCCGTTTTCCCTGCCCTCCCCGCTGGCCGTCTGGGGAGTACCCTCGCCCAGAGGGAGTTCTCTGTCTGCCCCCGAGCCTCCGCGCCCGCAGCCGGAGAGGAAGTCTTCTCGCCCCGTGCCTCTGGCGCTGGAGAAGCAGGCAGCGTTTCCCTGCACCTTTAAGGGGCTCCGCTGTCTTGCAAGGAGTGAAGGGTAGCACTTTTTCATGTTACCAGACTACAGGCGAGGTCTCTGCATGGGGAGATCTGTCAGAGGAGGGCCTTTCAGGGATTTGTCGCTTTGTATGTTGGGGCTGGGTGGAAGTACTGCTAAGCAGGGGCTTGGGAGTGGGGGGGCTCGCAGCTCTTTTGTCAGTGTTTGCATTGTTACTGTCATTCACGAAAGGGGCAGCTGGAGATGGCATCAGCACTTTCCCCGACCAGTGGCCCCAGTCACTGGTCGCTCAACACCAGGCAGGTGCTGGAACTACCTAACCAATTAAGTTTAAGCTTTGAGCGAGTTGAGTTTTCTGTCTCCACTGTCTAAAAGCATTTTCAAAGTTCTTTATGTAAAAGTGTAGGGACTTTCCCTTTAATAAAGCGCTTGTCAGGATGCCTGTTTTCTGGGATTATTTTCAGGAGTCACATTTCTGGTATGTTAACAAAGAAAGTTCTACTGTGATTCCTCATAGTCTTCAGTCTTTTGGTATTGGCTTATCGATAACTAGACCTAACTTCTCGAGGTGAATCGGATCATGTTTCCCTTTGCAAAAAATTGACTTGGAGAGTGACATGGCCTGTGAGAAAGCAAAGATTTGGAAGAGAATTCATTTCTCTGAGGTTGCTAAACTAGCTCATTAAAGACAGGTACCTTACTGAAATACATGACTCACTGAAGATTTTCTGTGTTAGGGAGACACAAAAGAATTGTGAGGATTGGATTTGCAGCTATAGCTAACAGGTAGTTATAGTTTTGCATTAAGCAAATATGACATTTTATGGTTACAGTGGCTTCCCTTCATGGTCCTAAAGTACTTCATAAACATTTAATCAGTTCTGAAAGCCTGAGAATGCCAGTTAAATTATTCTTGTTCAGCGTATGGGGAAATATGTAGATATGTCACCCAGGCTGGAGTTCAGTGGCTCGATCTTGATCCACTGCAACCTCCGCCTCCTGGGTTCAAGCGATTCTCCTGCCTCAGCCTCCCGAGTAGCTAAGATTACAGGCGCCCGCCACCACGCCCAGCTAATTTTTTGTATTTTCAGTAGAGACAGGGTTTCACCATGTTGGCTAGGCTAGTCTCTTAACTCCCGACTTCGTGATCCGCCCGCCTGGGCCTCCCAAAGTGCTGGGATTACTGGCATGAACCACTGTGCCAGGCCAGAAGTTCAGTGTTTTAAACTTTTGTAGTAGTTTGCAATTGAATGTGGGCAAGTGATTCTGGAGGAATTTCTATAGATTCTTGAACATTCTTTGGATAATCTTATAGGGCATAGCTTACGCTTTGGATTTGGAAAGACTTCTTTGGTATTCTAAGATGAATTCGTTAATCCAGCTCAAAACATTCTGTGATTATTGTTATTTATCAACAATGAACTAAAATGACTATTTTCTTAAAAATTCTAAGTGTATTGTTTTCCTAAATTCTGAGTGAAATCAATAATGCCATTTTTGGTAATGTGCATTGTCACAGAGAACCTTAAAATTAAGACCACATATGTGACAATTTTTGGGGGAGTCGGTGTGTGACTTTTTAAACTTGAGTAATAATTGAGGGTATATTTAAAGCAATTCAATTATAAAAGCTTATTTTGTATTTTAAAAATAGATGAAATACAACTACAGATAAGTAAACTTCGACTGGGTTTAGTAATGCCTGTCTTTAATATTTGCCAGTGTACCTACATTGATAACATTGACCGTTGGAAAAATTGGACTTGTATTGTGTTATTTCTCTAGTATATTAGTCCTAAAAAAGTGTGAGTAATAGGAGATGGAGAGATGTTTGTGGATTGTCATTCTGTGGTTCCTACAGCATTCAAGTTATGTCCATAGAATTAATGTGTTTAATTACTGACATAAATAAAGGTGAAAACACATTTGCTTTAGTTATATAGCTATTTCAGAAAAAAATTTGTGTACATATATAAATATTACATATATAAACACACATATATCTTCTTTTTGTTTACCCCTTGTTATATGCTAGATCGTTGATAGAGAGTAACATAAATTATTTCCTGCCGTCAAGGAATTTTCAGTTTATTTGAAGTAAGTAATAACTTTTAGGGCAGCAAATAAATATCAAGTAAGTTGAGATATGCTTTTAGGACTTCTGAGGAGGGTAGAATCATTTTGGGGTAGGATTTGAATTATGCTTTGAAGGAAGGGTATTTGAACAGGTTTGGAGCAGGAGGAAAGAACATTGGATTGGGAAACCCCAAACAGATACAGAGGCAGGTAAATGTAAATAGTTCAATTTAATAAGAATGGAAGGTACACAGGGGCATAATTCATGAGCCTGGAGTAGTAGGCTGGTCCTACTGTACAGATGCCTATGAATGCCAGGCATCATTGGGACTGGACTTACTTAGTTGAGAGTGAGGACCAATGTGATGTTAATAGCATTTTAGGAAAATTAATCTCATAGGACAATTCATTCTCACTTCTTTTCTTTTCTTTTTTTTTGAGATGAAATCTTGCTCTGTTGCCCAGGGTAGAGTGCAATGGCACTATCTTGGCTCACTGCAACCTCTACCTCCCGGGTTCAAGAGATCCCTCTGCCTCAGCCTCCTGAGTAGCTGGGACTGCAGGCTCCTGCCACCACGCCTGGCTAATTTTTATATTTTTAGTAGAGATGGGGTTTCATCATATTAATCTGGTCTCAAACTCCTGACCTCCTGATCCATCCTCCCAAAGTGCTGGGATTACAGGTGTGAGCCACCACGCCCAGGCCATTCTCACTTCTTTATGTGTGTGCAGCAGGGATCAGCAAACTAACTGTGGCCCATACCCCAAATGTAGCTGCAGCTTTTTTTTT